TAGCGGTACCAGAAAGTCTTTTCATATTGTAAACCTCTTTAATGTAGTGATTGTAGTTTGAGTTTCTAATTTGAATCTTAAGATAATTTAAATTTAAATTTAGATTTAATTGAAAATGACGACGATTGTGTCAGTGACCTTTACTTTGACTGAATTATACTACAGTTTATTAAATTTTACTTATTTATCTGTTAATAACTTGTAGAATATACTAATTTATTAATAAGTTACTTATTAATTACATTAACTGGTTAATCAGTTACTTATTAATTACATTAACTGGTTAATCAGTTACTTATCAATTACATTAACTGGTTAATCAGTTACTTATTAATTACATTAACTGGTTAATAAGTTACGTATTAACAACACCAACTGATTAATCAGTTACTTATTAATTACATCAAACGGTTAACAAGTTACTTATTAATTACGTTAAATAGTTAAAAAATTACTTATTAATTACTAACTAATTAATATAATTGATTAATTTACCTACTTATTTTATTTGCTTTCACTGAATTTACTTTTTTCACTATTTTCATGTGAAGTTTTATAATAAAAATGAAAAGACGTTCCGGTACCCTTAGCAAAAAATGGTTGAATGTTCATTTAAAAACTTACTACTGTGCTCTCCGATTCTCTGCCGCTTCCAGAACACTTGGTCAACAATTTGTCGTGGCACTTCTTATGCACAGCGGTTTGGCAGGCTGAAACGGGTAATTAAACATTAATAGACGCCTTCATCGCTCAATCACTTAGAAGAGATCCCTCAACAATGAGTTTAAGAGCGATAGAACAGTATTCTATCAAAGTATAACAAATTCAATTTTCCAATTTACAAATTTTCAAATTTAACGATTCTTAGATTTTCTAATTCTCAAATTATATCCGATTACGTTGAACATTCCAAAATATTCAGCTATCCATTTCTATGGAAATATATTTTCAGTAGATTGAAAGGTGGATACCAATTTTTTTATAAAATTTCATTATTATTTTTGAATATTTGAAAATTTATGAACTTTTATAGTAATTCTTAGGACTATATACAGTGTAATTAACCCTTTACGGTCTGAAGTCTTCTTACGAATAGCTGAAATGTTCTTGTAGAACACATTGTACGTGTCAGAAATGTTGCATTAAAAACTGAATATTTGGTATTCACAGTGTTTTCTACAATTACATTCCAATTTGAACAGAAAGTGATAACATAAACATTTACTGGAATAAAACTGAATATTAAGTATGCTTTGATATAGGTCTGCAAAGGATTGACGCTGTATAAATAAGGATCTTTTCAAATATTAAAAATCTTTTATATTAAACTACTAAACTATAGAAAAAAAGGAAACGATTTTTGTTTAAGTAATTAAATTATTTGTTTGCAATATTCAATTCTGAATACAAAAACCTAACGTCGACAATATGGCGACATTCCTCTACAAATAATGAATAATTGATATATAAACTAATAAAAATAGTTAAGATATAAGTTATTATGAAAATTTCAAATTAATTAGTAATTGACTCTTTATCTGCGCAACTTCATCAAATTTTTCTACTCCACAGAATCAACCCCATGGCATATTATTTCTTTCAAATGTAAATTGAATATTATTTTTCATAGAAGACACAGAATGATAATCAAATTCTTTTCTAATAAATTATTAACGATGAAATACTTTTATCACTTCGACGATTTAAACCATTTGGCCCCAGCGTACATGTTCGAATACGATATTTCATTTAACTTCAAAGAATAATATATTTCAGTTCTTTGAAGTAATATATTAATATTAATAATTCAAAATTTAAATACTATATCAATATGAATAATCAAAATCTTAAATATTATATCAATATTAATAATTAAACTTTCAAATAATACATTAATATTAATAATTCAAATTTCAAATACTATGCCCATACTAATAATTGAAATTTTAAATATTACATTAATATCAATAATTAAACTTTCAAATAAATTATTCGATAAATTAAAAATAAAAATTTCAAATAGTATACCAATACTAATAATTGAAATTTCAAATATTACATTAATACCAATAATTAAACTTTCAAATAAATTATTCAAACATTAATACCAATAATAAAAATTTCAAATAGTATACCAATACTAATAATTCAAATTTCAAATATTACATTAATATTAATAATTAAACGTTCAAACAATACATTAACGTTAAAAATTAAAATATCAAATAACATATTTAAAACGTTCCCAATAAGAACAAGCCACTTGTCTCCAACACTTTCAAAACAAATTGCGTCTAGGTCAAAATGGGTTAACGACTCAATCGTCGCACTGGTTTCAAGAAGTTGCTCAAGATCAGGACCAAGGACTCCCCGCAGCAAGGATCTCTTCTAACTGGTTCAAAGGCGAAGGCTCCGGACCGAGTATCGAGTATTTACCTTGGCACTGGTAGCCCTGCTTCCCGAATCCCCTACGACAGAGAGGGAGAAAGTCTGCTTTAGATTAATCATCGAACACGTTCTACCGCGAAGTGACCGATACTTGAATAATGCTCGTCTATTTTTAGGTGTCTGTATCAAATAAGCGTTCCGCCGCTTCGTTGTTCCACGATGAATCGAGACACACACGCGGCAGTGTTGTTTGCGGCCAACTACGCGTTACACGGTGGCCATTATTTCGATGAAACGCCTGTTTACACCGTGGAACGCGTTTTCCCGCGTCGGAACGTATTTGCTGGCAAGTAGAATCGTTCTGATCGAAATACGTGAGAAATCAATTTTTAACGTGTCGACGATAATGCCACTGATGGCTCGTATTTTAATGGCACATCAAATATGGAGGAACTTTGGTGTACCATTAACACGTTCGTGGACGTGAATGCTATAGCATTCATTTTCATTGTGATGCAAAATGACATGAATATAACATTGAAATATATAAGCTACATTGTCATGAGTTTAATTCTATATAGCCTTAATTTTTTGAAATTATGTATTTTAACCCTCGGAGTACGGCATTTGCATTTTTTCTATTTTTGCGGCTCGTTAAAATTTTTACTGTCCGCGAACGTGTTAAATATAGAGTCATTTTGATGTTACATCGAATATGGTGCCACTTTGGTGTACCATCAGATATGATGTCACTTTGGTTACCATTAAATATGATTTCAGTGTACCATTAACACTAGAACTACCAAGCACTTAAACTGATTTTTCCAAATTTCTTTATAAATCTTCTAACTGTGTATCTATCAAGATTCCAATGCTTATATTTCAGTATAAGTATCGCTAAATCAACTTTAATGATTTCTCACAGAAGCATCTATACCTTCTCAGTAATTACAACAGAAGAAATCAAGAATGGGTCTTTTCGACCCGCCTGGTAGATCTAGTGTCAAACATAGTGTCACTCTGGTGTACCATCAGACATCTAGTTCCTTAAATTAATTTGAAACACAGGTTAAATTTGAAATCGTCTACATTTTTTAAAATAACTATTATATCATAAATACCATTGACACCTAACAAAAAGAAATATCTTAGCTTCTAATTAACGCAAGTTGCATCAATGCACGATCCACACACGTTGAAACGCATATAAGAAAACCTAGATATCGATGAATGTGTCAGTAACACGTATCGTAATAT